TTGTTTATATTTCAGCCTATAGGACCCCAGAGTCTATATCTTTTGACAGCTGGGCACCATCAGCTTTCTTCACCTCATTTGCTTATGCACCTGCTTTGTCTCAGTGATTGAGCCAGGACAGGCTGGTCTGCTTCTTCCATGTGGGTTTTGTTGTTTCTCAGCTAGATGGCTGCTTGTTTATCTTCAGACCTTTAAGACTGCAGATGCAATATCTTTTGGTAGCTGGGTACCATCAGCTTTCTTCACCACATTTGCTTGTGTACCCATTGTCTTCATTGATCGTGCCAGGAAGGTGAGCATCTCAGTCTGCCAAATGGTTAGAACAAAGTGTTCTTGTGTTGAGGGAGTACTTGATCAGGGACCCACTGTCCATCTGTTTCCTTAATACTAAACCTATAAATATATGTACATAGATCTATTTCCCCTTTGTTGTATATAAATATATTTACATATGTATATGCCTCGATTTAAATCTATGACTACCCTTTGCCTCCTAGTTCTTTCCTCTATTTCTTTGTACTTTCCTCTTGTCTCACTATCAGGTTCAGCCTTCATTTGGATTTTAGGAATTCCGCTTGGTTACATTGCCCTTGATCCAGCCCTGCCAGACCTTTTCCACCCTCCTGGCCACTGATTTTGGATCACTTGTTCCCTTTTGCCTGGGTTTGTTAACACCTATTTCCTTTCCCCCTGCCTCCCCTTCTCCCATGTCCCCCCCAGAACTGTCATCCTGTTGTTCTCTCTTCTGGATTGTTTATCCCGCCTATCCCTTACAGGTAGACATGCTATGTACCATCATAAGACTGAGTACAATGAAGCAACAATAGAAAGTAAAACAATAGCTAGAACAACAACAACACAAAAAAACCCGCATAAATAGTTCAGGGTCTATTTGTTGTCCTTCACGAGTGCTTTCTGCTCAAGTCTGATGGGGTGTCATGCCCTGGCCCCACATCTCTCCTTGGGGACTTCATTGCTCTGCTCCCCCTGCTGCTCTGCTGCATGCCCCTAGAGGCTGACTTCAGTGTAGTGAGCTCAGGGCAGGTCTTTCCTGTCTTTTTAATCACCTTTTGCTTTTCCTCACATATCATGTTCTAGGGACAATCTCTAAAATCAGGTGGGGTATGCTTAGGTTGTATTTTGGCTCTCTTGGCCTTTTAAAATGTTTTCTTCATCTTCAAGCTGAACTTGTATATGAGGAAATGATACTCTGTTCCATGGTTGGGCCAACGCCTTGTTTTGGCCAATGATATTAAGCATTGCCCTTGTTCTTTTTCCCCCCACACACATGTATTCCATTAAATTCCTCTGTAGTGTATCTAGTGAGGTCCACATGCTTTTTGTTATTATTGAAAACAGATATTTGCAATGAAGTTGTTGGTCTTGTAAACATCTATCATTCAATGTCCAGCTTTGCTTCCATCATCAAGACAATATTTTCAATATACTAATCTTTCTTCTGTGTATCATTCACGTTCATATAATCACATCACAGATAATCAATGAACCTTGAGCGCATGCGTGATCAATGTCAAGGTGAAGAACATGATATCCATTGCCGTGGAGTTGATGCTGACTCATAACAATCTTACAGGATGGGGCAGAACTCTTTCTATGGGTTTCTGAGACTGCAACGGGCTGGTGGTTTTGAACAGTTGACCTTGAATTTAGCAGCCAATGCGTCACCACTAAACCACAGGAGCTCCTTGAAGAACCTGATAGATTTCTTCAAGTTCTTCATCACTGGTTGTAATGGTCAGTGCATAAATTTGAATAATAGTTATACTAACTGTCCTTCCTGGTAGACATATAGAATCATCCTATCACAGAAAGCATTGTACTTCAAGATAGATCTTGAAATGTTTTTTTTGCCAATGAAGGTGACACTATTCCTTTTGCATTTTTCATTCCCAGGAAATCTACCATATAAATGCCAGATTAAAAATAGCCAATAACCATCTATTTCAGGTCCCCAATGTCTAAGGCAGGGGTGCTCAATACATCGATCACGATCTACTAGTCCATCACAAATGTAGTGTGGATAGATCGCAAGGCATGTAAAAAAATAGATGGAAAGCCTCTCATCAATCCCGTCACTTAACTGATACACAGCGCAGCCAATCAGATGCAATCCTAGGTGTCAAACGCATGCGCAAACAACTGCGCTAAGTGCAGCAAAACTGACGAGCTAAGTTATCGCCAAATTTTAGACCTTGGTTTTTTTCTCTTAAACGTAAGAAAGGGTATTAAAATGAGTGGGGGAGCTGGTCCAAGTAAGAAGACAAAAACGTATCACTTTCATACGGAATGGGAGATTTCGACACGACAAGCTGACATTCAGCTGAAGTCCAGAGCCATGAACAGTTCTGGAACTTACTCGCAGAGGGAAAGTACCCAAACATGAGAACATGTGCTACCTCCTTGACTGCATTATTCGCCTCCACTTACTTATGTGAGTCAGTCTTTTCCCACATGAAGATCATTAAGTCCAAGTACCCTTCCACCCTGACTGAGCATCATTTGGAAGTGTGCTTGAGGCTGGCCGTCAGCCCCTACTGTCCGGACTATGCATCCCTTGCTCACTCCATTCAGTGCAAGTCATCAGAGTAAACTCAGGTCACGACAAAAAATGTACATACTTAATTGTGTTGTGTTGTGCAATATGGACTCATGTGGTTATGCAAGGTACATAAACATACGTTATAAATATAAAGAATTCTCAATGCCTTTATGAATAAATGTAAGAAATAAATAAAAATATTTGTTCTGCATTTTTGTAGTTGGTAGATCATTTTGAGCTGATCATTTTATAAGTAGCTCACAGGCTGAAAAAGTGTGAGCATCCCTGGTCTAAGGTATGTAGACCTACAATTTTGTGAATAAAAATGCGAAATTTACCTGATAGTTGGTATGTCTTTGAATCTATTTTATTGTCGCCAAAGAGAAGTGTCAGGGAGAAATGGTTTCTCCTATTTCCAAAGAATGCTGACCGGAATACTTATCCCACCACTGCTCCCAAGTCCTTCTCGGGTCACTTCAGTCACTCTCACGGAGTCCAGGCTGACTCCCAGTGACCCTATAGGACAGGGCAGAACTGTCCCTGTGAGTTTCCCAGACTGCAGCAAAGCAGAAGGCCCTGTCTTTCTCCCATGGAAGAGCTGGTGGTTTCTGTAGGCTTTACAGCAGCGGTTCTCAACCTGTGGGTCGCGACCCCTTTGGGGGGTTGAACAACCTTTTCCCAGGGGTCAAAAACCACATATTTCCAATGGTTTTAGGAACCAAGGCACTGCTCCTCTGTCTGTCTCCACGCGGGTCTGCCCACATGCAGATATGCCCACATACACTCACCCGACGTGAAGACTGCTACTCATGCTACACCATGCCTCAAAACAAAATTTCATTTATTTGTCATTAGAAATAAATATTT